ATAATACTTAATAATTATATATATATATATATATATATATATGTATATATATATATATATATATGTATATATATATATATATATGTATATATATTTATATAAATAAATAATAATATAATATAATAAATATATTATATATAATATATAATATATATAATTAGGTATATATAATATAATACAAAATAAAAACAATTAACAAATATATTTATTTTTGTAATTCGCGCTTAAATTTATATTGCTTAATTCAGAAATATTAAAGATCGATAAAACATACGTTGTACCACGTTACAAAAAAGAATACTAATATGAAAAAATGGCTGCATGATTATTTATTTTTAAAGAATTATTTATTTTAAGAAAAAAATGTCTTGTACATAAAAATTTATTTACTTTTGTATTATTTAAATTTATGATTAAAAAAATTATATAATGTTATAAAATGTTGCCTCGTTTAGGGTTTTTTTATGAATTGCATTATTTTTACTCAATTGGATTGGACAATAGAAATATCAGTACGGATCAAATTCAAATTATCTTTTAATTAAAAAATTTATAACTGAATTTGAAATTAAATAATAACACTCAAAACAATACAATGACAAAATTTAATTTTTTAATAATGCAATTTTTGATTAATATCTTTTTAAATACTTTAATCTATTAGAAATAACCAATAAAATTCATATTCTTTTCTTCTTTTTATATAGTGAACTAGGCTGTGTGAATCGTGTAGAATATTTGGAAGTGTGAATGGCTCTTTGTACTTAGAAGTCGAATTTCTGATGCAATATTCGTTAACAAGACGTGAATGCACTGTATAGACAGTACGAAAGTATCGAGACTCGCGTGATAAAGATGCTAATATATATTTGAAAGCTAAGCAAATTAATAAGATAATTGGAGACACCAAAGTATTTAAAACAATTTTCAAAATGACTGAAGAAGATTCGGTATGTAATAATATTAAAATTATATCTTTAATAGAGAATCTATGTCGTATTGAAAAAGCATGGAAGTATGATTATCTTGACATACTTCTTGATTTTTTAGTTTAATTTTAATATTTATGAATAAAAAATAAAATTTAAACCTATATAAAAGAATATTTTATAACGTAATTTTTATATGATAAGAAAAATGCCACTTTATACATTCCAACCTCAAAACCATGTGGATAGTATTCGAAAAAATGTACAAATATATATTTATTACTAATATATTATGGTAAATATTTTATTATTTTTATTGTAATATTCCATTTATTATGGATATAATATAATATTACATTTAATTTACGAAACATTTTGAAATATATTTAATATGGTATATTTAAAAAAATTTATTTTTAAATTTTTATGAAAATAATGTATTAAATTAATTAATATAATTAATAATAGTCTTTTATTATATTAATAAAGTCACTAAATTTTTTAAATATAATATGTAAAATGATAAAATATAAAATTTCACATATAATTATAATACATTCATATGATAATGTAATAATTAAAAAAATTTATAGGTATTTGATCCTACTTTGAAAAAGAAAAAGAAGAAAAAGAAAACTACTTTTGATCTTGATGCAGCATTTAATGAAAGTGGTAGTACTGGAGATGTCTTAGAAAATACTGATAAAGAAAATCAAGAACCTGAACCTTCTGCACCAGCTGAAGATGACGAAGCATTGGATTTAGAAAATTTTGGAAGGAAGAAAAAGAAGAAGAAAAAAGCATTTAATTTAGATGAACTTGATGCAGCTTTGCCTGATGCAAAGAAAGAGGTAGTATATATATATAATATAATATGTAATTGTGTATGAAATTATATTTAATAGCATATATTTAATAATATGTTATTTATTATAATTTATATACTATGTAACATAATATATATTATTTATAATTTATAATTTATAATTTGGAAAGGATATTGTTGAACAACAAACAGAAGAAGTTATTGTGGATGACACTTTTGACTTAGATATGGACTTCTCAAAAACTAAAAAGAAAAAAAAGAAAAAGAAAGATCTTGATGAATTAGTAGCTGAAGAAGAACGTAAGGAAATTGAAGATAAAGAAAATGGTAAATATTATATATTGCAAAAATATCATAGTTTGGGGTAACTAGTTGTTTATGTTACACATTATTTGTTAACATGCTGCACTGAATCTGAGCGAAGTGCAGAGTATGGTAAGAGATATGTATTTGGTATTTTCTATAATTTCTTAATTTCTATGTATAATCTATATATATAATAATCATATTTATATAATAACTACTTTTATATATCATAATCATTAGTTTAGTTTCAGCATAAAATAAATTATTATTTCTCTTTGTTATTATATATTTTCATCAAGTTAAATGATAATATGAAAAAAAAATTTTGAATAATAAGATTGTATATATATATATAAATTAAAAATAAAAAGATTTAATATATCAATCAATAAATTTATTAAATCTTTTATCATTTTTCTTAATGTATAATCATATATTAAATTAATAGAATATGTTATAATAATTATATTTCTTAATAGAAGAAACAAGTTGGGTTGGATCAGACAGAGATTATACTTATGACGAATTATTGGTAAGAGTATTTAATATTATGAGAGAAAAAAATCCAGACATGGTTGCTGGTAAAAAACAGAAGTTCGTCATGCGTCCTCCGCAAGTAGTACGTATAGGCACTAAGAAAACATCTTTTGCTAACTTTACAGAGGTTAGTTTTATAATAATACTTGTTTATTTAAATACTTTTAATAATTTATGAATTGTAAATTCTTTTTTTTTTTATTACTTGTCTTACAATTTTGAATTGTAGATATGCAAAACTCTTCATAGGCAACCAAAACATTTACTCGACTTTTTACTCGCTGAATTAGGAACTAGTGGTTCTGTTGATGGAAATAGTCAACTTATCATTAAGGGTCGTTTTCAACAGAAACAAATAGAAAATGTTCTTAGGAGATACATTAAAGAATATGTTACCTGCCACACTTGTCGTTCTCCAGACACCATTCTTCAAAAAGATACCCGACTATTTTTCTTACAATGTGAAACTTGTGGTTCAAGATGTTCAGTAGCTAGTATAAAATCTGGTTTTCAGGTAATTATTTTTAAAAAATTTTTAAAGCATTTAAAAAAAAAATAAAATATTTAAAGCATTTATTAATTAATTTGATACTTTTAAAAACTTTTCTAATAATCAATTATTTGTTTTAGGCTGTTACAGGAAAACGTGCAGCTATTCGAGCAAAAACTGCCTAAAAAATTTGTCTTGTATCACGTTTATCAATTTTGTAGCATAATTTTGAAATTATCTGAGATTTCTTGTGTCAGAACGCAATTTTTTACAATATCTATTATAATGGTGTGCAATTTGAACATTAATTTTTTTACTTATAGCAATTGAAAATGATCGATTAAAAAAAAAAACATTGTAAAATTTATTGCACAATATTTTTTATTAATCTGCAACAAACAAACAAAAATTATAGAAAAAATTATTAATGAAAAAATTTTTCTATTAAATTTTTCAAATTTACCTGTTATTTTTAACATTCTTATCTTTATTTTTTGGGTTTGAAGTCTTTAATATACCATTTCCTCTTAGAATACATAAAATTATATGATTTAACATAATTTTAACTTTTTTTTACGCATTTTCATTATTTTGGCAATAATCGTTTGAAAAAAAATAGCTATACAGTTATATTGTACACTATTTCAATGATGGGGATAAAATAATCATGATAATACGATATGTATTATACATTTGTCTAGCATTGTGACATAACATCCTGTATAAAGAACTGTCTATTAAATATAAAATGGTATGGATTACCAGTTGTTAACAATAGATTTTAAGCTGGTAATAACTTGTTATATCATTTTCTGTATACAAAAAAATTATAACATTAAATTCGAGTACATTATTACGCATGGTGAAAAGTATTATTCCCATAATTATCTTTTTTGTGAAAAATATCATGATAAAATATAATTTTTTTTAAACGATCAATAGCTAACTTTACTTAACTAATTTATTCAATTGTATTTATTAGGTAATAAATTTATTTTAAGAAATTTTATTATTCTTCTTATGTTTTTCATTAATAATATTTGTATTTTTAAAATAATTTCAATATTACATAATTAATTTGCAAATCATTAATATTTAAAATACTTAAAAAATAATTTTTATTTGAACTATTTTAATGCAATGCACTCATTTATAAAATTATGCAATTTTAATAATTATGTGCATATAATGATTAATATACATATATATTATATAATAAATTTAAATAATTTAGTATTTTTATGTATTACACAATACAATAAAATTATAATTTTTTTTAATAAAAAAGAATTTCTTGAGAAGTAAATTATCAAATAAGTAATTAAATTTTCGTTATATCAATTTCGTTTTTTAATTTAATTATTTTTTCCTTAATATTAATAGCAGTATCTATAAAATTTTGAAATATAGAAATTGGCATATTTGGCATTGGAAAATCTTTGAAAGGAATCCATTTTCGCGTGCCATCTTCACATTCTTTCAAATATACTGGTTGTGAAAATACTAATCCCTTTGGTATACCAAATGAACCTAAAAAATTTGAAGTCTTATTTTATTCTATGATTTTTCCTTATTTTATATTACCATCAGATGCGATTCCCAATGATATAATTTCATCTCCAATGCTTTTTTTTTTGCTATACCATAATTTCAAAAGATCACAAATAGCTCTACATTTTGGAAAATCTTCTGATCTGCCTACTTGATATCGAACAAGGGCCTAAAATTCATTCTTTTTCATGTATAAATTATAGAAGAAATATATAGAAGAAAATAACAAAATTCTTACATATACCTTACGTTTAAAATGATTTTTATATGGATCTTTATCATGTGACATGTAAAAAAACCATCTTAATTCTGAATATTTGATTCTAAATGGTATTATAGTTTTATTTGAATTTAAAGTTTTTTTATGTGGATAATATATATCATACTTTTGAATCATATGATCAACATCTACAAAATGATTGATTCCTATAATTAAATTTAGTATTAATATATATGTATAATAAGATATACTAATAATAATATATCATATTTTTTTTTATATAAATATAAATCAACCTAAGAAACCCCAAATAGGTGGACAACCAAAATTTTGGTGAGTAAGACCAAATGAATTCACAAATGTATGTATAAGTTCCAAACCATAATGAGCACTAGCAACTACAATATTTGTACTTGATAATTTTGTAACAAGTTCAAGCATAATATTAGCATAAAAACATGGAAGACTCATTGAACAAAATATTATCTTCATATGTGAAGGTGCATATTCATTTATATATGTAGATAAATTTTCTATAATTTTATAATTACGTTGCAACCAATTGTCTGTCCCTTCATTATCTTCTCTAAAATATGCATATATAAATATTCACAGTATTTACATTATAATTACAATAATAATTATAATAAATTATTTTTATAATAAAATTTATTATTTTTTATAATAATAATAATAATAATAATAATAATAATAATAATAAATACCGCATAAAACTATCAAGATAAATTAATATATCACAATTTTTCAATCCATCAGGAATACTTTCCACGATATTTACTGTATTTAAACCAGCACCTATTGTTCTTGCATCTTTGAAAATTCTCCTAAGTTTAAAAAAACATCCTGGTTGATCATATAAATTAATAACGATTCCATGACTCATCCAGAGTTCTTTTGTCATTAATAACTGAGACACAAGATCTGGACACATAGATCTTCCTGCTCCTATTATCATTATTCTACGACATTTTTCTTGTACTTGTGAATTTTTGCTTTTTTGTCTTTTTACATTATGAGCCTTTATTAAAAATTTTATTAAAAAAATTTAATAAATCTGATTGGAATTATATAATATAGATAATTTTTCTAAATATTTTCATACAATTAATAAATCTGCTTGTAATGCATCAAGTTCTTCTTTATTTAAATACGATGTGATGTTATAATATTTATGCAACAATTCCCAAAATTGATAACTACTTCCAATATAATTTACATGAGTTTGACTAAGTCCAATTTCTCTCCATATTAGAGGAGATTTAGTGTGAGTCCATTTATAAAGTTCACAAATTTCTTTTAACCATGACTAAAAATAATTTTTAAATTGAATTGCATTTATAAATAAAAATATAATATTAACTTACTTCCCATTTTAAAGAACTTTTACTAATACTTCTATAATGAAAATTTGGTAATAATGTAGATAAACTTTCAGCAATAAAACATATATGATTAAAAGTAGGATCTTCTAAAATACCAGCTATTACAGTTAAACATCTGTTTGTCATTTTGTATTATTAACAATTGAAGAGCATTTAATACTTTTTTAAAAATTTTTATAAAAATATATTGACAAAATATATTTGTAAAAATTTATTAAAATTAAATATATAAAAAAAGCATAATGTATTAAAATTTTATTAAATTATTAAATGATACTTTATTAAATTATTTGTTTTATTTTTAATTTTTTTTTATATAATAGATCTTAAATATATAAACATTCAAGAGTCAATTATTAATTAATCAATTTTATATTTTGAAAATTTTTTAATTTTAATGTCAGAATATATAATTAGTATTCAATTTTTAAAAATCAAGTAATTAACATAAATAAATTAATTAAAGTTGATCTTTTATATGTTTTAGATATATTTTAATCTAACATAATTGTTCTAAATTATTTTATATTAATAAATTATTGATAAAAAAAAATTTAAAGCTAAATGAACATTTTTATATTTAAAATTTGTTATATTTTATATTTAAAATTCATTAGATATTTCTGGTAAATCAGGAATCTTATATTGTATCCACTCTTCATCAAATATAGGTGATATACATAATTTTGGTATTTCAAATTTAATTTGCCCTTGATCTAAATAAAAAGTTTAAAATTAAATATATATATAATACATATATAAAAAATACATAATTAAATATACTATACCTAATTCAAATTCATCTTCATAAGGTACTATTTTATTTTCCTTTTTTTTAAGTAATTCTTTAAATTCATTTTCTATATCTTTAGTATAAATATCATCTGTAAAAATATATTTAAATATTTTTTTATATTAATTATTTAATAAATTATTTAATTAAATTATCATACCAAATTCAAATTGCATATCACAATATGGTGCTAGATTTTCTGGTTCAGGATATAATTTTTTAACATAATTTTTTAAAAGTAATGGCTTTTTAAAATTATTTTCATTATATGATAAAGGTGATTTTACATGTTCTTTTTTTGGAGATATATCTTTTCTTTTTATAGAAAATGCATTTAGTTTCTGTAAAAAATTAATCTTATTTATAAAATAATTATATTTTATATTTTATATTTTATTTGTAAAATTTTTTAACAATTTATACTTCTGATAAAATATTTTTCCTAGGTGATATTAGTTGGCCATCATTATTTAATTGTGTTAGTTTTGGTTTTAACAATTCTTGTTGTTTGTTGAAAGTAGCTTGCATAGTTTCAGGTACATTTAAATCAGAACTAGATCTAATTGATAATCCTTTTGGTTTTGATTGATTAATATTCTTTAAAGAACCATTTATACCAAGACATGTTTTTGATCTTGCTAAAGGTTTTGTAGTTGAACCTAATTTTGGTAATTTTATTATTAATAAAGTTATATTAATTTAAAATAACATTTATAAAAAATAAAAAGTATAAATATTAACCTTTTTATATTCTTATTCTTACCTTTATGAAATTCTGATATTTCACCAAATAAGTTAAATATATTAGCCATAATAAAAATTTTAGCAAAAAATAAAACTAAAATAATAAAAAAAATATTTTAATTTATTTAAAATATTTATTTAAAATAGAAAAATAATTTAATAACGTTTCAATTTCTTTAAGCTTTCCGTTTAATATGAACTGCTCTCTAAACAAAACTAGGGAAAATTGGTCACATTGAAATCTTAAATTACTAAAAGTTTTTTTAGGTAAAAAATAAAATATTTTATTACTATATCACATTATATGTAATATATATGTATACATATTATATATAATATATTATATATAATATATTATATTATATTATTATATTATATTATTATATACATATATTATATTATATATAATATATGTATACATATTTCAACTATATTTAAAACGAATTTATAACGAAATAAATTTTTTTATTATGTTTTTTTTCATTTTATTTTTCCTATAATCAATTATATTAAGTTTATACAAAAATGTATTTATTCATAATATAATTTATTAAAAGAGACAAACAATTGTCCATAGCAAATATTTCATTAGGATAAATTACATTGAAAATACATATAATATATATTTTTACACGTACAATGACTTATCAATGACTTATGACTTGTCTTAAGGCCTCTAAAAATATAGACAACCAAAAGCTACCAACTGCTTACATTGGAATGCTTTGATTAAATTGATACAATAAATTGATCATATATATATATACAATTATTTATTATATATAAATATCAATGAAAGAATTTAAATTTTTCATAAGACTGAAAACAAGAAATGCTATGCAAAATTACAGAAAAAAAAATAAATTATTCAATTTGTAATATTTTGATTTCTGTAAATAAAATATATTAAATATAATATTCTTTCATTGATATACATATATACAATTACATAAAATGTTTATAAATGCTAAATTCCTTTTACAAATAATTCCTATGAATCGTAGCAAAAAAAGGGAATTGTTTAATGGAAATTTAAATTCAGTTTTGTGTCAATATCATTATGATGTCTACATGTTTTTACAATATGTAAGAAGACAGTCTATTTTCACTTGTATACCAATAAGATATAGACAATTTTCTTTAATATTAATTGCAATAGCAATATCTTTTTGTCTTCATATTTTTAATTTTTTTAACCCATTCTAATACTTTGAATTATTTGGAATACAGCTGAAAGTTAAAAAATTTTAACTTGTATAGATATATAAATCTTTTCTATATATTTATTTTAAAAAATATTTAAATTACCACAAATATTAAAACTTACCAGAACCACATACAACAAAGAGAAAAAGTGCTAATAAACAAGGTCCAACAGGAGATCCTTCATCTTGTGGCTTCTAAAATATTATTAAATGTAATAATTTGATATAAAGATTAAAATAAATTCATAATAAAAAAAATTTATATAATTTTACAATTCATATTATAATTCATATTTTGATAAAAAAAACAAATTATTTAAATAATTGATTGTTATAAATTTAAATTGAATGTACATTCATATTACATATGGTAGATTTATTAATTTACTGGATTAATTATTTTTATTATTATTAAAAAATGAAGAATCATAAATATTAAGAAAATCTAATATTATTTGTTAAAATATGTACAACGTAAAATTAATAATATAAAAAAGTAATACATATTACATTGCATACAATTATTTTATTAATTAATATTAAAAACCAATTATATATTTAATTATATATTTGTATGTAAATAACATTTTAATTATTTAAATAAATTTATATATAATTTAAATATATTTTATTAGATAATAAAATGTAACATACTGATGACTTTGGAACATTTCCACGAAGTGTAATATTTTTTGTAGCCCTTTCGTTAGCGATACGCATTCTTTGTTTTGGTGCCATCTTTGTTGTTTTTTGTTTACCAAAAGTATTTCAATAAGATTTGAAATAAATTAATAAATAATTTAAACACTATGTTAATCACTGTACGTGTACTAGAATATGACGTTCTTGTGCTATAAACAGATGTATATACTACACTCTGATTCTCACGTCGATGTGTACGCTTTGACACGTGAATACTTTGGAATATAGGACGGAGTAACTTTAGTGCCACACTGGCACCAACAGAATCAATTTAATAATTATATTTTTCACAATATTCTGATTCTTATAATTATATATACATATATTATTTTAATATTTGTTTAATTATTAATATATTTTAAGTATATATTCATAATTATGTAAATATTTTACACGAAATATTTTTGAATAACGTAGTATAAACATGTTTCTTTACGTGTATCGTATACAATACACGCCCATGATTATTTTTAAATGTAAAAATAATATATTTTATCTATAGAGGAAAAATAGTTAATAAATAAGTTAATAAATAAAATTTAAAAAAAATTTTGAACAAAAAATAATTTTAATTAATGAAATCTATTTTTACTATATATTATCAGTAATTTAAAAAATGATTTATAAATTTTAAAATAATTACATTAAATGAATATGTGTATAAATAAAAATAAATTGTATTTTTGTTGCATGTAGAAATTTTATATTTCATAGAATTGCTACGTCTAACAAACCATATGGTTCATTCGAATATTTTCACCAATATTCATTCAGCAATGCTTTATCAAGATAAACATACTCTCTATAACTGCCATATCCCTTTTTTTCTCAACAGCGATTAGATATTTAATCGCGTGAAAAAGATCACAATTAAAAATTTTACCACCAGTTATAGACTTATAATATTTTACACTTTACCGACGCACTCATAATTCATAATGAAGAATATCCACACAACAGAAAAAAATGACATGTTATGACATGTAATTGCGCAATTAATAGTAAAAAAGTTTCTTATAATTCACATTTAATCCTATCTTCTAACTTACCTATAAATTAATATTACTTGAATTTTTAGTAAACAAACATAAAATTATAATTTCAGTTCAGAGTCACAAAAATATTATTTTAAATAGTTTTAACTGAAGTACAGATTGTGTGATTGAATTATATTGAAAATTAATATTACATAATTCATACATAATAATCTATAAATTTATAAAAATTTTTTTTGTTTTAATTATTTTTCAATTTAACTACTGATATCTAATTGGAATTATTTATATTTGTTCATGTATTTCTTTCTTCTAAAAAAAATATTAAAATTCTTGAAATATTTTTAAATTATATTACATAAATATATAAATTTTTATGTAATATATAAAATTCCAAGAAAAGAATAATTAGTAAATTTCAGAAAAAATTAATTATACTATAATATAATATAATTGAGTAATTTTAAAAAATTGATTGTTTTAAATAAAAAAATTCTATCATATAATAATCAGAGCCTGTATTTTGTATAATAAATTGTGACTCATGAAATGAATAATATGTATGATTGTTTGAATAATTGGTAAACTATTTGCAGATATTTATCTTCTGTAAAACTCATTTTTTACCAACATAAAAGAAATAAGTTAATCATTTTCTTGAAATGAAAGTATCATTGTTACATCAATTAATATAAGGATGGTAAAATATTCGTTGAATATTTTTAAAAAATGATATAACGAATATTTCTCTTTAAATATTTAGCTATACTTCATTAAAATTAATATAGTTCTTTCACGAGTTGCATTTGTACATTATAAATAACTTCAATTTCAACCAAAAGAACAAGTCCTACTTTATAAAAACCGGCAGGTTTTATTTTGTATATTCTTATTTTAGTCGATTGTAGATGTTACACTAGAATTGTGGTTTAGTCTATTTTGACTGTAGAATAAATCTTTCGTACAAATGCATTAGTACCAACATAACCAACTGTTCCGCACATTATACCCAAGGCGAGACTGAACAATGCCATATAACCAAAATAAAATGCCGTTTGGAAGAGACCATACATTCTGAAAAAGAAAAATAAAATTATATTCTATTTTTTTTAATAAATTTGCATGGGATTAATCAAGCATAATATAAATTTACTTAGTTTTAAAGAAGAAATAATAAAAGGAATATATATAGACATAACCAGCAGTTGAAGCAGCTGCTAAGAAACTTGTCCATTGCCTATAAAAAATAATATATATATAAATATAAAACTTACTATGTAACAATATTTAATTACATAATTAATTAATATATATATTAAATAATATTTACCATCGATAATCTTCAGCATTTAATAAAAAGTATGTACATACAATAGTAACACAAACAGTTACTATCATTAGAATAACAAATACTAGTAACATAAATCCATAAACATAATAAATTTTATATGCCCAAAATGAGGTAAAAATAAAATACCTAAAAAAAAACATAAAAAGTAATTTGACATATTTTTTAATTAATGAATATTAATTTAATAAATTATAATATTAATTTAAAAAAATAATAATGAATATTACATTTCAATGAATATTGATCCAAAGGGCAAGATACCACCAAGCATAATAATAACCAATGGTTCCATGAACCATTTTTTTTCAGGAATTGGTCGAGGTACTGCATTAACTCTGCATGGTGCATCTGGAGTTCCAGCTAAATTACGACCCAAAATAGTTCCAACTAATGTTAATGGTAATATAACAAATATACAAATACATGTTACTGCTACCTATAATAAAATATTTTTGTTAATACATAAAAAAACAAATGTATATATAAATAAATAAGAATTATGTAAATAATACTTTCCATGGAACCAAATGGTATAGCACGGCTGGCATGGTAATACATTGCAATGAAGTTAATAAAAAATGCAGTGCCACAGACAATAAAAGGTAACATAAAAGCACTGAGAATCATTTGTTTAATCCAAATACGACCTCCCATACGTGCATATAAACCTCCTCCAGCATAACCATTTATAGGTGATGTAGCAGCATACACAAAAATTGCTGTTGATAACATTGATCCTCTTTCTGTATACAATTCTCCGAGAATAGCAAAAATAATAACACTAAGTACAACCACAGTAACCTAAAATAAAATAGTTTATAAAATATTATAATTATTACTTTAAAAAGATTGATTTAGAAATTTTTAACTAAAATAATTACCTGATATCCAGCACCTATAAGAGCTGAAAAAAGCATTGCATGACTAGCAGGTCTAAATACATCTCCATGAACTTGTTTCCATCCATATTCATCACCTAAATCTCGTTCCATATCATCCATTTCTTCATCCCTACTATATCTAGCATAATCTTTTCTTAATGTACGCATTAAAATCATTGAAACAAGTCCAACAAGAAAGATTACCATCATAAAACTATTAAAAATACTGAACCAATGAATCTGAAGAAAACGAAGGATAAAAATTCATTTTTAAAATAAAATAATATATAATTTTTAATTTCACATTTTTTAATTAAAATATATTTACTCTGTGTTGAAAAAAATTAGGATCCAGATATTTGTCAAATCTATCTTCAAATTTAACATTACTTTTTTTCCAATTAACTTCATAACTGAAAGAAATGGCTGCATCCTGCACTAATTTAATTTTATTTTCACTAGTCAAATTTACATCAACTATTTGCTTTCCATTATATCCTATATCAAACTTTTTATGTGTCCAAATATAATAAGATACAATTCCATTATTGTCTTCAGGCTCTCCCACAACACCTAAATATTAATAATAATCAATTAATATAATAAAGAAATACTTAAGAATTGAAAAAAATTAAAATTTTGATTTTACCCCATATTGGTAGATCATCCATATACATCTTATACCAATATTGATTCTTCACTGCATATATGAAAGCCTTTTCACTTTCTTCAGATAATTTTATTTGACAGTAATCCATTTTTGCAACATCAGCTATTAGATAATAAATATATATCATTATAATTAAGATATCTACCATTAATTAATAAAACTTCAAAATACCTTTATATTCAATTTCCAGACCACTAAATTTGAGTTCGATGCCTTGTAATGCTTCAGAAAAAGTTTCATGATAATGATTAATAACATTTTTTGTGCCCATACAAAAAGGTAATGAATAATAGGAATAAGTTTCCTGTCGATTATGATATGGTCCAACAGTACTCATCCACAATACAACTTCATCATTATCTTCATACTAATGAAAAAAAATATATTCCATTAATACATAATATGTATAATAATATAAATATGTAAAACATGATACAACATGAAATATGTATATATAAAAACAAATCAATTTTTAATAAAATTATTAATTAAAAATTAGCTATTAAAATTCACAATATCATAATATTTTGAAAATATGTTAATTTTCTGAATATATACTTACAACGTGAGTGTGCTCGTCGAGATAGACAAAGGGGAGTAGGCTAAGCGCCAGAAAATGGAATAACAATCGAGCCCGACACATGATCATCGTGACGGGAAGGCGCACTAGGCGCCTTATGCTAATACAAATAGAAATTCAAAGATATTTTACAATAAAGATACTCCATAGATTCACGAAACAAATATTGCTTAATAGAAACACCGGACAAACAGGTACCAATGGACACGTATTAAAACACGATGACACTTACAGCAACCGCTAATGCGCTAGGTGTTAAGAATTCACTATCACAATAGATGGCGCTTTTATCATTACATTTTAGAAGTCCTTGTTAAATTGATCATTGTAAAAATTTAAATAATTTATATGATTAAAATATTAAAAAAAATTTATTAATATGAAATTATGTTTAAAAATAATATATATACAATATATAAATACATATGTATATGAAATATATATGTATATGAAATAAATATTCAAATAAACTTTAATATTTAATTAATTTATGAATTAGATATATTAATAAGGATACAATAGTTTAAAGAAAATCAAAGATATATATTTATTTTTTTACACATTTTTTTGCTATAATTACAATTAATACAAATTTAAACTTTATTATTATTCTTCAGGCCAAGGTTTTCCTATTCCTTGAGATGCACCCATTCTTGATGGATCTTGACTGGGATAATGTATTGGAGCTGTTCCAGGTGGAAAAATTGGTGTTGCAGTAGCAGGTGCCATTTGAGGTGGAAACATATATTGAGGAGCAACTGGTGGAGGTGGAATCATCATTGGTGGCATCATACCAGGAGTAGTTTGAAGATTGAAAAAATTATTTCCCATACTTTCTGGTGGAGGTGGTAGAGCAC